CCCAATACCTCCCATCACTTACACCACCTCGTGACAAATATATACAGCCAAACACTGTGGGCTATAGCCTCTCTTTACAGTGACAATGGGCCAAGGTCTTTCAGGGTTTCATTTGACTTTGAAGGGCCTTTGCCTAAATCATAAGCCTACTTTACATTTTCTCTTAAGAGGCTGCATTAATAATTCACGTGGGAAGTAATGCGTTTTTTCCTTCTAATTAAATGCCTTAAACGTGGTTACCAACTCGAAGTCCATTAAGCGGTCTTTTTTTTATTCCTTTAGTAATGTTATTGTACCTCAGCACTTGCATTAAGTCAGTCGGGTTAATGGCAAGAGATGCGGGCAGGATAAGTGGGGAGGGGGGGGTACAAATAAATGGCTGCGTGGGCCTCAAGTGCTCCCCAGTGGTGTGGGGGAGGCAGCAAGGTACAAAGACCTCGAGGGGGAATTACCTTGACTGGGCCTTTCTCGCCGATCTGGTAGGACACCTCGGCCGGGTCGATCCACACGCTCAGCTCGCCGGGGAGGTTGGTGCGCACGTCGGCGAGAGCCAGGCCGCTCTCGCGGGCTGCCCGCTCGATGATGGGATCCACGGCGCCCTCGCCCACGTGCACGCAGCGGTAGCCCGAGCCCTTGTACGGCTTCTCCGGGTACCAGTGGCCGCGGTACTTCTCCCGTAGCAGCCTCTCCAGCTCCTCCCCGAAGATGTTCACTCGCCGTCGTGGTAGCTTGTTGTACAGGTACGAGATGATGAAATTGAGTGCCACTTGGATCTCCAACTGCATGGCTTAATGTTTTTTAGTCCTTTTTTTTGCTTTACTGGTCGTTTCAAATGTTTATTTGCTTATCAGTATAACGTGATAATTTTTTTTTTGGTTAACTGGAGGCTTTTGTTATAGCGTTTTCAGGCTTTGTGTAGAAATAGTTAATATTTATATTGCTTTTTTCTTTTTATCCGTTTCTCGCCGGCAGTGGAATCGTTTCTATAAAAAAATAGCAGGCAGTGCCTTTCTTAAGTACTTGGCCCTGCGCGGACACACACAGACACATGGGAGGTGGGAGGGGGGGCAGAGAAAAAATTGCGCACGTCAGCGGTGCACACATACAAAAAACTGCGCAACACGCGTGCATTCGAAAACATTCAACACAATCCCGCTTAGACGCTGCATTCTTTTCGAAGTGTGGTGGGGGGCCCCCACAGAAACCAGCTGACGGGCCGTAGTGGATTCGGGTTTGCAGTCGTGCGGCTTTATAGGGGGGGGGGGCGGAGCGCAGTAATAATGCGGCCAACTGAGCGCGGTCATGAGGCCTCCCAGTGAGCCTCTCTCTTTCGTGGGGAGGGGGGGTGGGTTACAATCGCACCATTGTACCATGCAGGTGCCAAAAAAGAAACCTCAACACCCATCACCACCACCCCACCCACCGCCACACACCTACCTCCCACCCCACCCACCCAACTCACTAACTCCCCCCTACCAATACCCTTTAAAAAAACCACAGAGACAATAATGAGGGGGGGGGGGGAGGCTTGATAAGTGAGGCAAAATAACTCCGTTATTTAAAAGGCATCAGCAGGAATGACGCCGAATCCGCGTTTTTTTTTATAACAGCTGCGCGCGGGGGGGGGGGGGCGTTTAAACGCCGCCATTTCGAGTTAATGTGGAGGTAAATGGCGTAGGTTAAATTGTCCCTCAATTAAAGTTTAAATTCTCAACGCAACGACGACGACGAAAAAAACCCACACGCACTTACGCACTTGACGGAATGCGCACGCTGCCTCTCGTGCGGTTTAATTAGGCGTAAATCCGTGTTAATGTGGAGGAGGGTATCATCATCATCATCATCGCAACACACACACATCGCTGACCGACCCTGCCCACACACCCCACCTAGTGACGACGGTGGTTGCTCGTCCTTCACACGACCACGGTGGGGGTGGAGGTATAGGGGGTGAGTGACGACGGCACAATTCTACCCTTTTATATAAAGCTAAGGCCAGGGCTTACACAGAAACACACACGGCGACAAAACAAGGTCGAGAGAGAGAGAGAACAAATGGGTGAGTGAAAGCCGTGGGTGGTGGTGGTGGTGGTGATGGGGGTGTGCGCACGTTTGCGGCCGTGACCTCCACGTCCTCTATTACGCAAGAGGCGACCTCCTCCTCCTCCTCCTCTCCCCTATTCCTCTTCTACTAAAAAGGTCATTTTCACTTTTCACGAGATTCGTTTCGAAGGAGAGCAAACATAGCGACGACAACAACAAAAAAACTCGGCATCGTCGTCGGGGACTTTATACGTCGCCGCGTTTAAAGGCGAGCATAGGAGGATTTTATTTTAGTTAACAAAACGATTATTTTTTTAAAAATTAAAATCCGCGTTGTATTCGAGATCTCCACATGACGACGACGACGTCGTCGTCCCCCTCGCAAAGGGCAATTCTCGCCGGGGCGGCGTCTTCCTCCCACTCCTCCTCCATCATCACATCTCTACACCACCCAGTGACGCGGCGCAATTACTGCCACATCACCACCAACACCGCAAAACCACCACCTCGCAGAGTTTTACCACGATTTAACCGCCCCCAGCCCGAGGTAATAAAGAACCTGTGGTGGTGGTGATGATGATGGTGAGATCCACTCGCAATCACCGTGCGATTTACACAAGACGAAGAGGGGGAATGAAAAATCCACCCTCGGAAAACGCCACGCAGTCAAAACCCACCTCGAGGGGCAAACTTGACCCGAATCCACATCAGCAGACGCCCCGAGATTATTCGAACCGTAGCCGAATAAAAAATTAATAATCGTACAATCCAACGCATTTTATCGCTATATATATTGGCTCCTCAGCCCTCCCCCCCCCCTACAATCGTATTTAACTTACACGACCCTCGCTCATTTATTCTTCTTCTCACGACGTTTGCGGAGGGGGGAGGTTGTTGCCGAGTAGCGGTGAAGGCTGCCGTGGTGGTGGTGGTTGTTGTTACCAAGCGAGATGGCGACGTTCGCTCCTCGCAACACAACGACGATCGCATTCGTCCAGCCGAGTCGACAACAACTTGAGTCGCACACACACACAGGCAGTCGAGACCGCTGTCAGGTCAGGCAAGTAGGTCACTATTCAAAGTCGGACGGTCGATGATGATGAGGCGGCGGCGGCGGCGTTGTGCCAGCCACAACCCCAAACCCCCTTTAAAAGCCCTCAGTCCTCTCGCCGATTAAATCGTTCGCATTTAATCTCTTAAATCAACGGGCATTTTTTAAGTTTTTTTTTTAAAACGCAAAACAAACCCAAGTCTCCGCCGGTGTTAATACGACGTCTGTCGATGTCTCCGTTGTTGTTGTTAGTGTTAGTGGTGGGTGCCTGGGTTTTTACCTCAGGCGCTTGCTCGGCACGCAGCGGGGGGGAAGGGGTCACGGCAACCGTCGCGCGCCGCGTCTCATTCCCGCGCGCGCCACGCGGGAGTGGGGGGGGGAGCAGGAGTGCGCGAGGCGGCGCGCGCCACCGCGCTTTTATACCGCGGCGGGGGCGGTGCCGCTCGCCCGCCCTCCCGCCCTCCCGCCCGGATTCCTCCGCGCCACATTCCCCACGCACTCGACTTCCCCCCCCCCACCGCCCGCCCCCACCCCGCCGCCGCCGCATCCCACCCACCAACCAACCAACCAAAACTCCGGCACTACTTTTTCATCATTATACAGCCCCGAAGCTGACGACGGCGAAGGGGGCGTGCCCGATGACGTAGGGCGAGGGGAGGAGCCGAGCTTCCAAAGCGGCGTTATGAGAGGGGGGGGAAAAAGTAATCCCCGCGATGCTTTTAAGGTATAGGATTTTCCGCGTGTTTTTTGCGAGACTTCTTTTTTTCCCAAATCATATTTGCTTCGTGACAATTTGAAGCTGATAAACGGAATCCGTTGGTTTTATCTTTTTTTTAAGGTGAAGGTTGTTTTTTTTTGCGGAGCGGAAAGTTACAAGTCGGCGAGATATCCGCGCCGCGGCGCTGCCGGTCGTCGTCGTCACCCGGCAACAGCTAAAAATAGCACGCGGGTCAACGCCCATTGGCCGCAGGCGGCGAGCGTCGGTGTCTCTCATTGGCCAGCGTTGGCAGTGGGAGGAGTCGTTATGAGGGGAGGGGGGGGGCTATGGAAGGGTGGGCGATGGTAGGGGTAGGCGCGGTCATTTCATTCATTAATTTCAGCTTGGGTTGTGGAAAAAAATAACAACAAAACCAACTCGTAAACACCGCAGGGAAATCTTAGGCGAATTAAAAAACTAAACGAAAAACGCAAACGTAAAACGCTAAAGCGGCAAAGAAAAAGGCTTAAAAAAATACAGAAATAAAAAATATAAAAATGTATTAAAAAAAAAAACCCCACGCGCACGCGCGTCCATCACCAGCCGCCCTCTGACGTCACGCGAACAGCTGGTCGCGTGACGTCACGGCTCCACCAAACACCTTTGCCCTGACCAGGGTCGCCCGGGGCTGAGTTGGAAGAACGAGGAGGGTGCTTTAAAATCACGATTTATTAAATTTTTTTTTTTATATATATAACTATTATTATTACTTGCGCGTCTGCTGCTGATGCTGTTTCCACACTTGCGCTTCTCACCACCCCCCCCCCCCCCCCCCCATTAACTCACCCACCCCTTTTTATTTATACTAATTGTTCACGATTATTACATGGTCCATCAGCATTGACCAAATTGGTGAAGTATGACCAATGTAACTCTTCCCCCCCCCCCCACCACCATTACCAACAATGACCCGCACGGCGCGGGCAGACCCGGCCTTCCTCCCAGTCATCTAGCAGTGGATTGAGAAAGGGCCTTGTGGATACCACATGTGGCATGCATACGAAATGGGGACAATAAAACCCAACTCTCCCCTCCCCTGACCGCGGCAGGCGTCCAGTAGCAAGCGTGACTGTACAGCAACTATCAGCTGTGCATCGCAAACAACACGCCACGTGGCGGCTGTCTGTACACGAAGAAACCTCCTTCACACGCCTCCCAATAACACTCGGACATTTCACAGCCGCATTTTCATTATCCTCCACTGCCCTTTATCCGGTAGGTTGTACAACAACAACAACAAAATCCAGTAAGCGATGCATTTTTCTCTCTCTCTCTCTCTGCCTTGCTCCGCTGGCTTTAAATGGCAAATGAAAGGGAAAATTCCACTCGAGGTGTTTTTTTCTTTCTTTCTTTCTTTCACGCAGCCCACTGAGTGGCATGTCTGGAATTAGTTACCTCCACTTTATCAGAGCAATTTTGTTTTATTTCCACTTGCCACATCCGTGCTGTGCCAGCGTCACATGGCCTTCAAGGCATGGGGCGATAGTTCCACTTGCTAATTTGCCGAGCCGGAACCAAAGCCGTGAATCTCTGGCCTGGAATCAAAATAAATCGGAATCTGTAGCAGGGCCAGGGGGCGAGGATAATCATTTTCGCTCTTCTGTTTTATCAGCCACGAAACTTCATCTACACGCATAATAAACGTATTTTTGTGGGGGGGGTTTAGATCGAGTAAATATAAATGTGTCATTAAACCCGCCACCACCCGACACGGCCAATTAGTAAGGTTTGTCTCGTAAACAAAGCATGCCAATTACTTACTACTTCAAACCCACAGCATTTACAATTCATCTAAATGCCACTCTTTCATTGCGTGTTGACAGCAGTGGGTTGGCTCGGCTCGGCTCGGCTTCTGCAGTGGAAAAAAACAACAACGTGGCGTCTCCACAGTTGTGCTACTCAAGGTAGTTTTTTTTTTCACTGCAGAAGTAGCGCTGATGTGATGTAGTGATGCCACGTTCTTATTCTTCCTCACAATGTTAAATACTGACATCACACACAATCAATGTCATCATACACTATCAATGTCATCAGTCCTGACGTTGGCCTGTTTGGACCCGAGCCAGATTCAGATCCCTCGTTGAGGCTCAGCAAAGAGCCCAGTGGAAGAAAAACAAACCCGTGCTGAAATGGCCCAATGCTGGCATGGTTCGGTTTTACAGTGGAAAAAAAGAGGTACAGTATTATTGCAAACATTGCTGAGTCCTTGGCTCCTCCTTCTGCCTTTGGCTGCCTCCCTCGACAATGTCGTCTCGATTGATCTCATCACACCACAGCTGTGGTGGGCCTCATTTGTTAATTGTTTTTTTACCCTTTTATCTGGCAACAAAACTGACACCTTTTTTACGAGGAGTCATGTTTGCATAGACCACAATACCTGCAGTCATAATGCAAACAAAAAACACAACTCTGATAATGTATGCACTGTCCTTGAAGTTGAGTATGAGAGCTCTCATACTCTGATGGTGCATTGTCTTTGAGTTGTGCGCCTTTTGGCGTCATCTGGTCCAACCCATGTGAGACTAGGCTCTAAGTAAAGCTGTCTCGGGTGTGGACCAATCAACTTCAAGGACAGTGCACATTATCAGAGTTGTGTTTTTTGTTTGCATTATGACTGCAGGTATTGTGGTCTATGCAAACATGACTCCTCGTAAAAAGGTGTCAGTTTTGTTGCCAGATAAAAGGGTAAAAAACCAATTATCATATTTTCTACTGCCAAATTAGGTACCAATGGTGTAAATGGCCTCATTTGTCTCATGTAACTCCCTACCCAGGTTTTCCGTCATCCTATTGCTCAACTTGTGTTCCTCCTGCCAACTCCTGCAAGGCTTCCTGAAGTAAGTAATAACAATAATAATCGGGATGTTCGGCCAAAACGTACCATCAAGGAGTGTGTGGCTGGCGCTCTTTTGCAATTAGAAGTCTTATTAGGGAGGACACGTGGCACCGCTGCTTAGGGGCACTGCGTTAAATAACACCAGGGTCGGCGTGGGGGAGGCCTGCATCCAGCATTGGACTGACAAAGGGTTGCAAAAAAAAATATTGAATAAAAACGAAGCCTGCATTGTATAATTGTATTACATCTCTCTTCTTTGCGCACACACTGCGCATAGTCCCAGGCCTCCCTTTGTGCAGGAGACTCTCCTCCCTGAGTCATTCCTCATTTCCCAACGCCCTCCGCCACACATGGGGCACAAATACAAAAATTGGTGGAGAGGCTCGTAATTTGAAGGATTCCCAATTTTTTTTAACGATTTCCACACTTGCCCCCCGTGTACAAGGTCAGAAGGGGGACCCCCCCCCCCAAGATTACCCCCCACCCCCCAGCACTCCTCTCTCTCTTCCTCCTCCCACAACCCCAGTGAGACCTTGACCCCCCCACCCAACCCCATGCTCGCTCGCTCTGACGCAGGAGCCGCTCGCTTTATTCTCATTTAAAGGCCGCGGTTGTACGTGCGGCTGTCAAGGGCTCCTCCAAATTAGGTCCTGACTCTGGCGTGGCACGTGAATTGAACCCTCTGCAGTGAAATGGTTTTGTAATTGGGGGTGGTGCAGGGGTGGGGCGGGGATTGGTCCATCGTGAGTATCTGTGTGTTTCGATGTGTCTCCAAGTGTCTACGTGTCTCCGAGTCTCTCCATGTGTCTCAGAATGTGTACGAGTATGTGTACGAGTGCCTGCACGTTTCTGCGTCGACATGTTTCTATGAGTCTCCAATGTCTCCCTCGAGCGTCTCTGCTAGTGTCTGCATGTCTCTGTAAGGGTCTTGTGTGTCTCCATGAGCGTCTGCTGTCAAATCGTCGGCATCCCATATTTCTCGACAGTCTCAATCCCACACTGAACCCCGTTCACGTCCAGTGCTATGAGCAGAGACCCGATGGTCCAAAACATCAAGCGACCTGAAACCAGCGGCGCTCTCATAGTTGCAAGGAATAAAGAGTTGACACGTTTCTTGCATTGCGCAAGAGTTTATGAGCGTGTGGGAAAATTGACGATCGGAGGAGTGAATTCCAAGGCAGATAGAGAGCATTGTGCGCGATGCAGAACGCGTGGAAAGAGAACTGCTTTGACCCAAGAGTGGCACAGTCGGGTTTTTTACAATCTTTACAATCGGGTTTAATTGTCTTTGTATATTAAACCCGATCATCTGAGATTGGGAGAAATCCGGTTTAATTGGTTCTAATTGCAGAACCGCACTTCTCAACGATGGGCTTCATCCATTCCAAGCTAAGGAACTCACTGGCGCCCACGATTGTGGAGAAGCTCCTCGTGTTCATCAAGACCAACCTGCCCGCCGCATTCTACGACTACCCCGTGCCCGACGGCCCCCCCGAGTACGATAGCAGCACCGACGAGGAAGCAGCCCAAGCCTTGGATCAGAGTTTCGTATTCATTAAAGCAGGTTTTAATTCCCCGAAATCGGGTTTAATTGTATTAAAGAAAAAACCCGATGCCTGCCGCTGGAAAAATCTATTTTTTTCCACCCCATGCTTTGACCTGTGCGGTGTGGCGGGTTCAACAAAGTGCGGAGGAGATGGAACGGCCACCCTGGTAAATCCGAGTCCCCCAAAGTGGGTGAACGGAAGTCAATGACCTCGAGTTTCGAGTTCCACACCGGACAGGAGCCGGACTCACCTTGTAGATTAAATGTCAATTGGCTTCTCGTTGTTGTTGCTGATGTTATCGACTGACCGGGGATTTTCTTATCCGCTGGGGACCACTCTGACTTGACCATTACGCTTGGGACGGACTCCATCGCTTTGGCTCTTTAACTCGGGACGGATATTTTGGGTTTGTGCTTGGGCTATTGCTGGTCCAATATGAATTAAAGAAACATTCAAACTCAAACTACGCAACTTGATCTGCATGATTATTATTACCATTAGAATTACCCGTCCCTAAGCACTCCCCCCGACCACGATATCTGCATCTCCCTGCCCCCCCCCAATTTCCGCATGATCCGTGCCAACCCCCAGGGGCCCCCCCGACTCCCGCAGCCCCCCAAACTCGATGTACCCACACCACTCCAGCCGACCCGGCCCCCCACATTTTTTATTGTGGCCCCACCCACACCCCCTCCCTCACCCTACGTGCCCCCCCCCCCACCACCACCACCCGTGAACCCCCCCCCCCCATCTTCCACTCTGTGTGGCCCAAGCCATGCCCTGATGCGGCAAACCTCGCCCCTGACGCGCCGAGGCACGCGTGGGCATGCCCACCGCACCCCCCGTCCTCTCTCTCTCTTCTCTAAATCTTGACTTGAAGCTTTCGTGACTGCAGGAATTCCTATTCTTTGGGTCTTTCGGTAAAGTCACGCAAGATAGGTTCAAAGAAAACAACAACAAAAAAACGACGACGTTTCGAATCGCAACACAAGCGGTCGTCATCAGGTGGGAAAAGAAGGTAGGGAAAGCCACTAAAGGCGAAGCTGTTGTGTTGCGATCGAAACGCCGTAGTTTTTTGTTTATTATTTGAACCTATCTACGTCACTTTACCGAAAGACTCAAAGAATATGAATTCCAACGGTCACGGAAGCTTTTTAGATTTAAAGCTTTCGTGACTGCAGGGATTCATCTTCTTGGTTCTTTCGGTAAAGTCACGTAGAAGGGAAATAATAAAAATAAAATACAATAAAATACAATTCTCACGACGTTTCGGCCACAACGCAAGCAGCCGTCCTCAGGTGAAGAACAGGGTTGTCGGAAAGACAGCGTCTGAATGAACACCATATACGCTTCCAAGCTTGGTGGTGTTCATTCGGACGCTGTCTTTCCGACAGACCTGTTCTTCACCTGAGGACGGCTGCTTGCGTTGTGGCCGAAACGTTGTGAGAATTGTATTTTATTATGTTTTATTTTAATTATTTTATTATTTCCCTTCTACGTGACTTTACCGAAAGAACCAAGAAGAGTCACGGAAGCTTCAAGTAAATTCTCGATGATGAAAAAAATGAGAACAGATACATCTCCTCGTCGCCGTCGTCGTCCACGCAAATTGTTGCGCGCTCGAAAGCCTGACCACCTTTTGTTAACTCCAATTAATAAAATACTGTGCTGTTACGACATTTACACTGGCAAGGCGCCTCTCACTCGACGTCTCAAGGCGCCTTATTATCCTTCCCTTGTTCCTCTTTTTTATTGAGGAAAAAAAAGACTTTGTACACCACAATGTGATGTTAGCCAATTCTCGCCACATGATTAAACACGAGTCTAGAGTCCACGTGCATAGCTTGTTTCTTTTTATTTTCTTCAAAACTTTACCAAAGGGGAGGAAGTCAAAGGTGGTTGAAATCTTTCCACCCCATCCAAACAGTTCTGTTGTCAGCACCCCAGTCCTGTACGGCCAGTGGGTAAACAAACAAAATAAGTAATATTAAAAAAAAAACTTTCTTTAAAATACGCTTTTATGAAATGTACTAGTAATGGAAGAACTCCACGACTTAAGGAAGTGGCCCCGAAGCTTGCTATAACGTCAGGGACCGTGGCCAATTACAGCCAACGTCAGTTGATCGTGGACAATTAGACCCAAGCGGAAACATAACATATACAAAAGAATGTTTACAAATATTTTATTTTTTATGATAGAATATAGTATTGTCATCAGTATGACATAAGTATACCAAGTTTGCAGTCGATACCACATTGGGAAGTGGGTTAAAATTGAGTTACAAGATTTGAGGATACAACAACAGACAGAGTGAGTTTAACACGTAGGCTTTCGCGACCAATATTATTCATAATCAACGTTTTTGGGTTTAGATCGCGTTATTTATAAATGTGTCGTAACCCTCCACCACCCGACACGGCCAATCAGTAAAAAGTGTCACGTTGACAAAAGACAAATAGTTCACTGCTTTAGCCCACCGGTGTGTTGAAGCGTAAAACCACAACATTTACAATTTTTGAGTACGACGTTTCGCTGGTAATTGCATCCAGAATCATCGGGCAATTCGCCAGAATGGTGAGGCTCTGCTCTGGCTCCCGGTCTTATATAGAGTAGCAGCAGGGTGACGTCATCATTAACTCATCAATTCATCAGTGAGTTGACAGAGTGAGTTAAATGAAAGCGTGTAAAAACGTCTCACAGTCCGTGGGCCGCCACTTAAATTCATAACGGCCCAAAGGCAACGAGCGGGCCCACCACTTTGAAACGGCCCCGCAAAGGATTCGTATTTGTGACTGGAAGGAATTCAATTGAGTTATTTGATTTTAAAAAAATTATTTCCACCCACTGAGCTGTGTAGATTTTTTTCAGAAGCGACCTGGCCACAAATGATAGCTCAACGAAAGTGGTTTCTCTTATCATGCGGAAATGTATAGCAGCGGCCACATACTCTAAAAGCGTGTTTCGAAATGTGGAGGGGGAAATCGGAGGACCCCGAGAAAAATCCACGCGACCACGGGGAGAGAGACATGCAAACTCCAAATGTACAGCTGTCGGATCGGGATCGAATCGACGACCTCCTTGCACAGCAGGCGAGGAAGTTAACATCTCGCCACCGTGGCACCCCAAGTAGTAGAGTGGGAGGTGACACATTTCCAACGTGGCAACCCACCCACCCTGTGCTTCTAACTTTAGCTGCAACGCTCGGTTACCTCTAAAGGTAAGCCCAAGTTATATATTTGGCATTCCTTTACTCGATAACCACCGAGGTGTGCGCGTTAACGTGTGTGTCGCCCGCGAAAGTTATTTCAAAGTCGCGACTTAAAGCTTTCGTGACTGCAGGAATTCATATTCTTTGGGTCTTTCGGTAAAGTCACGTAGATGGTTCAAAGAAAATAACAAAAAAATACGACGTTTCGATCACAACACTAGCGATCATCATCAGAAGGACGATCGCTTGTGTTGTGATCGAAACGTCGTAGTTTTTCGTTATTTTCTTTGAACCATCTACGTGACTTTACCGTATGACCCAAAGAATATTATTTGAAAGTCGTTTTAGGCCTTCGGTACGAACAAATATTTCCAAAACCTGCCCTGGTTATTGCAGTAAAAAAAAACATATACTGGACATAATACACAGTGGGTGCAAGCACTGCACTTATGCAATAATATTATAATGAACAACAAATAATACGCGTGAATAAACAAGGCCGGCCAGGCATCCTGTTTACCAGGCCGTGTTTTTATTTTATTGCATACCGTCGCATTTGGCGGCTCCTGAACAAACAACGTTAACATCTCGGGTGAAGTTCTGATAGAACTTGTCAAGTGTAAAATGCGAGGAAGCAAAGGGGCTGCAGCGACACGAAAAACAGTTAACTCGAGTTAAGACTGACATTTGAGTTTAAAAGCCGCACCATCCGAGAAGTTATCGGCCTCACATTTTGCCCTCAAGCGGAAAAATCAATCAACGAATGAACTGAATGAAGCCCTTTATTTAACCAGCTGAGAGAAACCCTTCAAACGCAGCCTCTTGTCAAAAGTCAGGCCACCCGCTTTTTTTCCCAGGCACTGCCACCTTGCCCCGTCAGACGCTTTTTGACCGCTGCACGCACGCCGGCAGCTGTAGATGATTAATAAAATAGCCTGCGAACAAAACAAAATCTGCAGCGATGGCTGCAATGAACCCCGGCGACGTAGGAGTTCGATCAGAGGCGAGCGACGCCAAGAAGCAAGTCCTGGACGAACCTGCCCGATTCACCAACTCACACTGGACCACCGTGGTTTTGATCAGTGGCAGATTAAACTAGTAGCACAAGTAGCTACATATGTAGCTACGGGCCCCGCACTTTCAAGGGCCCCACGCTAAACGCTTTCAAGCTAAGAATTCCGGTTTAGAGATTCTGCACTTGCTCTATTACTATAGAACTATACCGCCTTAAACTTTTACGAACGACTGCGGTGTTTGAGGTTAGCGATTTATATTATCTGGGTGTACATCAAATGAAAAAATACAATACTTTACTATGCAAGTAAAAAAAAATCTGTGTTTTAATATTAGTTGTTTTTTTGTATTTAGAGCCTCTTCATAACATATGCTACAGGCCCCGAACTAGCTTAATCCGACACTGGGTTGAAGTGTCGTTAAACAACCACGATGAACCAGGTGACCTGACCTTGTTTACAGGGGAGTGAGATCTGAACCAAGTCTCAGACAACATTCTCTCCCCGCCCCTCCCCCGGGCCAGCCAATGTCGACAACCTTTGACCTCTTCACATTGACCAGTGTGGTGACGTCTGGTCAAACAACTCCCACGAGCAACAGCGTGCTGTTAAAGGGATGTAATAATTATGATTAAATATAATTAAAATACAAACGCTAGTGTAAGTACTTAGGGCTGGGTGAATTGTAATGGGTGACTGGGCAAAGCATCGTCTGCATGCCCTTAATAGGCGGGCCGGTGTTGGTAAGGGGATAGT